ATAATAAACAGGACTGGCCCCAGTACTGAATCATGAGGAACACCATCAGTGGCAAGTTGCCAGATGGATTTAACTCCATTCACCACCAGGACAGCCACATGTTTGCATGGGTGCTCAGTCTGGGTTGCCGCAATCTTTTTGGGTACAGCTTTTGGTAGGATGGAGACCATGACTGGTCTAGATTCACTGAGAAGATGAAGAGTTATGGTGAGGTGGCTTCTCCGGTGGGGAGAAGGACAGTTCTCTCTCTACTCACCCTGCCTGCATGAACTGCTGCACAAGTTGCCATGCCGCGCCCCACTGATGCATCACATTCTTCTTGCCCGTCCTGTTTGCCACTGGGCTCTCTAGCTGCTGCCCACACTGTGTCAGATTCTCCTCTCATCAATGGCTCTGCTCCATCATGGGGGTTGGGATAGGGGAGGGTGATGGATCTGGGGTCATACTGCTCTCCCTGCACTTATTTCACCATGTTTCTCTGCAGCTTTGCTTCTTTGTGAAGAGTCCTTCAGAGTTAGATTCCAATCCCAATCGGGTCCACTTGAGGTCTTGAGAGAATCACAAAATTGCAGAATGGTTTCCCTTGAAAGGGCCTGTAGAGATCATTGAGCTCCAACCCCTCTGGCAAGATCAGATTGCCCACCACATGACCAAGCCCCCACCCAATCTGTTCTTGAACTCTTCCAGGAATGGGACATCCACAGCTTATTTGGGCAACCTGTTCCCATGCCTTATAGAACTGCTCTAGGTGGGAAAAGACCTTCAAGATCATCAAGTCCAACAACAACCTAACTCTAACAACCCTCTGCTGAATCATGTCCCTGAGCACCACATCCAAACACATTCAAGGATAGTGAATCAAGCACCTCCCTGGGGAGTCTGTTCCAGAGCTTAACAACCCTTTCTGTAAAGAAGTTTTTCTTGACATCCATCCTAAACTTTCCCTGGAGCAACTTGAGGTCCTTTCCCCTCATCCTGTCACCAGTGAGAAGAGACCAACCCTGCTCTCACTGTAATCACATTTCAGATATTGGAAGAGAGCAATAAGGTCTCCCCTCAGGCTCCTTTTCCCCAAACTAAATAGCTCCATTTCCTTCAGTCTCTCCTCATAGGACACATTCTCCAACCCCTTCACTAGCCTCTTTCCCTTCTTTGGACCTGCTCCAGCACCTCGGTGTCCTTTCTGTACTGAGGTGCCCAAAACTGAACACAGTACTTCAAGTGAGGCCTCACCACTGCCAAGTACAGAGGCAGGATGAGTTCCCTCATCCTGCTCACCACACCATTCCTGATCCAAGCCAGGATGCCATTGGCCTTCTTGGCCACCTGGGCACACTGCTGGCTCATATTTAGCTGACTGTCCATCAGTACACCAAGGTCCCTTTCCATCAGGTAATTTTCGGGCCACTCCTCCCCAAGCGTGTAGGGTTGCCTGGGATTGTTGAGTTCAAAATGCAAGACTCAACACTTGACCCTCTTGAAACTCATCCAGTTTGCCTTGGCCCTTCTTTCCAGTCTATCCAGGTCCCTCTGTAGTGCCTTTTTTCCTTCCAGCAGATAAACATTCCCTTAGAACTTGGTGTTGTCTTCCTTACCACCGTTTGAGTAAGTGTTTTCTTTAACAGGTACTATTGATATTTAGTATCTCCACTCATTTCCATGTGTCTTTCTGTAAAATATTAAGACCGGAAATACGTATCTGACTGAGCACTTGTATCATCCTATTGATATCTTAGAGAAAAGAGATGACTATGTAATCTTATGCTAAAGAACTTTCATAACAGCATTTTCCTCATCAGTAAATGACACGAAACATGCATCTGACTATCTGATACATAAGAAAAATTCAAGGTTGCTATTAATTTTACAGGACAATCTTTCCAATTTCTCCCTTCTTATATTTTCTATATTCGGTTCTCTGTTTTAGCATTAGATACAAAAGCTGATGGTTAAATAATATTAATCTGAACCTGTTGTCTATAAGAATGGAGGAAGCATAAGACACCTTGACTATGTCTTGTTGATATTAAGTGATATTAAATGATAATTAAGATATTAACACAAGTTAATGCTTGTGTGCGTATGTACGTATGTTACATAGTAATTACATAATATATTATTATAGGAATATGTGCATCTGTCTGTATTTAGGAGACACATTAAATTAGTATTTTTCTCTCACCCTGTCCTTGGCCCACCTTAATATGTGCGATACTGTTTGAAAAATAATCCCTTGCGTGTAGAAATGTTTGTTTGGATTGTTCTTGAGTTATACAGGATCTTGTTCAATGCCTTTGCTACTATTCAGAAGCTATTTGTTATTGTGATGTTGTAGGTAGCTGTGATTTGTTCTGTGCAGATACATTTTCTTTATTTTGTAGTTACGCCAGCAAAATTAACTTTCAAACAATAGGCACAGAGACAATGATTTTAGGGGCAGAATGAGGAGACAATAATTTCCAGATATATCTATCTCACTTTCCCTGATGGATGTCTTGTTACATATAACCATACAATATTTTCATCACAATGACTCTTGTGCAGAGTTTACAGTGTGTATTTAAACTTAATGGATTTTAGTTCACTCTTGAAAGAAGAGTAGGGCAACCTTACTTCCTTTAGACAAGATATAAGCAGCAACCGTGTAATTGCAGAGCAGGTCTAAAAATAGTTTCCTGGCAGTACAGTACAAAACAATGAAATATAAAAGCAAGATACTCAGCTTCATACTGCAGCTAGCTGCTCACTGGAGCTTTTCTCAACTTTAATTCAATTGCAAAAGAACTAACACATAGCTAGCTACATAATTTTTTCTATTACATATGTTAACTGTGCTCCATGGAGTTGTACCTGCCCAAACTCATTCAGATTATATGAGGTAGGTGACAAGGTGCCACAGCACAAAAGAAAATCTGTTGCAGTAACAATAATTGATACTAGGAGCAATTTCAGCAAGTACAACTAAATCTCTTTTTTTCCCCAAGGGTGTGGGAGATGGGGGAGAAAATAGAGTCATAGAGAGTACAACTAGGAGACAAATAAAGAATTGTGCCTATTTCTGAAGAATTTCAATTTTCATTGGTGGACATCCCCGAAATCTTTCAGCTGAGATCCATCATTTTGGGACAGAGGGTGAATGGTGTCCTGGGGATATACTGTTTGTGAATCTCAGGAGTCAATTGGATTGTTACATTCTCTAACTATTCCTGTTAATTTAAACAAGAATGAAAGCTGGCTTTCACTTTGGCTGGTTGAAAATAAAGAAACATCATATTGAAATGCATCTGTCTTGTACAGCATGGTGTTGTGCCAATTTCCAAGCATATTTTGATGAGTGAAGTCTCTTCAGTAGTTCTCACTGGTCTACAGGCAGTATGTTGTTCTTGAGGATGTGCACTGATGAGTAGTTATGTTGACCTGAAAACCCAATATTAATTTCCACTTTTTAAAAAGTTCTGTGATCACAACAGTATTGTCTACTAACAATAAAAGCAAATGCTACCCATAAAGGGCATTCCAATGACAATCCTCATGCTATAACCATAGAAGTTGTATATCTGCATCAAGACCATGAAGAATTTGTTTTTCTGTTGTTCTTCAGGTGTTACATAAACCTAGCACGTTGCTGCCAGATACACTCATTTATTATTCACTATTTTGGATTATAGATATTCAGTCTGTGCTGCTAACCACTCATGCACACTAAAACATGCACTAATAAAAGCTTTCCTCTCAGCTCTATTGTAAATATCTGGATATTTTTGACACACATATTTCATTTATTTTTGTGTTAAGAACAATGACACTTCTCCTCTCCAGAAATGAAATTTATAGGTAAAGAAATGTGAATAATTCTAAAGGTAGATTTTTTTATACAAAAATCTGGATGTTGGGGCTGTTGTTATTTGTTATTTCTCTTGAACTGTTTATTGTTATGTGGAATGGGACTGCTTTTATATTTTATTGCCAAAGGAAGAGATCTGCTGATGGACAACTTGCAATAAACTATACCTATTCCAATGGTGTTGGATATGGCATCTTCAGATGCTAATGTTTGTGAGTTCTTTCTCCACCCCTCTCCAGTGAGATGCAGCTCCTCAGTGGATATGAATAGCCTAAATCTGAAATGAAATCATTGCCTTTATGGTAAAAAATTGGGTGAGTCAAGTCATGGGAATTTATAGAGTACACTGAAAGACCATGTACATTCCAAACAGAGGCAGAAGAGTAAATTCTGGTCAAAGCTAACTACAGCTCTGAAGATGGAATGCTCTCTTGGGGACTTGGGGGCTTTCCTCCTTAAGAGTTTTATTGAGAATGAGTAAATAACTTCCAGTGGACTTACTATTATTTAACATCAGATTGATCCAAATCTGTATGGCCTGTTAAACAATATATTTTAAAACCCCCAAGCTATGACATTTATTAGGACAACAAAAAGGAAGATGGAGTGGTGCATGACTTTATTTTGTGCTTAAATAGAAATAAATCTCTGTCA